ATGTATGTATGTATGTATGTATGTATGTATGTATGTATGTATGTATACTGTTAGAATAAAATCTGGCAATCTACTGCAGAAAGAGCCGACTTTTTCAATCTTTTAGTAACAATAACAATGAAATTATATATCTGTCTTTGTTTTCTCTACATTAGACGAAAACAGATGTGATTTAAACGTTGGCTTATCAAGAAGATGGAAAAATTGGCCTATATTAAAATAAAAATTCCATACAATTTGTTATCTCTTTCAAACATTACACTTATAATTAATGCCCAAAACAGTACGGTAAATGTTAGACAATTTATAAAATATTACTCTTTTTTTATATTTTAATATAAATAACAATATTTTACACAGTGTTTACATTGTTTACGCGAAGAATAAGCATGTTATAAACACGTAGAAAATATGTGAACAATCCGCGTGGACATAATCTTGGGATCTACGATACAAGCCTGGACATTACCCGATGAGTGCTCGCGTTGTAATTCCGCATTTGACCGCAAGCCGGCGGTAACCGGCCAATTGTGTGTTACGATGTGCGTTAAGTGCGCCGTCAGGCTCATGCGTCATGCTCCCGGGACACGGCGGGAGCCGAGCGCGGCCGAGCGCGCCCGAGTGGCGGCAGAATCGGCAGAAACCGTCGCGACAACAGGAAACATGGCGGCATTGCGCCGCAGCGTCGAGCGCGGGGCTGAGGCCGCGTGAACGCTCGTTCTCTCACGTACACGTTACACGTATATACGTACATACCGCGGAGCGCGCGTGCCGCTCAATAAGCACCGAGACGGTACGAGTACGCGATGAACGCGCGCCACAACGTGTGACAAGCATGTGCAGTGTTTCGTGACGAAAGGAGTCGCCCGTCGCGGCTGACCCTGAATCTATTCGCGCCTGGATAATATCGTCGCACGCGACGCGCATTAATTGGCATATACCTTCAGTCCGAAGTGACAGGTACGCGCTTCAGCGAAATGCTTTCTTTCCTCCCCTACGAGGGACGAGCCAGCTCCTCCTCTTATTCGCCGCCTCTTTTTCTCTCTCTGTTTCTCTATCTCTTTATCTCTTTCACTCTTCAATTCACCCACGTTCGCTCGTTGTTCCCTGTCAAGTCGCGCACAATTCGCGCTCGCAAATAACACACGGCTGCCTCGAGGTTATTGTCGCGTTGACGTCGAAAGCGATCGAGTTGGCGGGGCTGGCTTCTCGCTCGGGTGTGTTCCCCGCGTTGTCATCTGTACGCGGGTCAATGACTCCTAGAGCGCATCGCCCTCGGCGGCCGGGCTTCCCTTTGGGCCGTTATCTCCCGAGGACACCGCGCTAAAAAATCGGCCGTTAATCATCCGGCCGCACGCACCGGATAAGAATAGCTTACAGGAGATTGAGGTAGGCCTCGTGCAAATCGTCTGTCGTTCAGTGAGCCGCGACACCGATTGCCTCTTGAAAAAACACGCCGAGACATCGCTCGTTGGCAACCTGTTTCACGACTATGACGTCCGGCATGTTCTTGTAATTTTATCGCTGACGATGAATATGCACACGCGGTCGCTCGTTGATATACGTGACACTCGGAAATTCGTTCGTCGTGTATGCGTCTTGCCGTTCACGCAAGTTTGACTTTGAATTCTCGGCAACGAGAAGCAGCTGAAGATTCACGCGACTGGCAAGCGCGCGAGAGGGAGAGAGAGAGAGAAAGTGAGCGAGCGAGAGAGATGGAAAGAGAGAGAGAAAAAAGAATTATTCAATCGACGGTCTACTTAGATCGTGTCCAACGCGCGCTTGCAAGCGACTGCTCCGCGTCTTTCGTCTCTTTACGTCTAAAAAAAGAGATGCGACGCGAGGTAGACCGACGCGTGTCAAACGTAACAGCTCTGATCTGGATTTAAACGAGGGCGAAGAATGATTCGTAAAGTGTTCTCGGGAGCGAACGCAAGACTCGTCCCCGCGACTCGTTGCAGACGAGGGGGAAAATAATGGAA